TTTCAGTTTACTTGTGCGATTGTTAAAAATATCATTTAGTTTCTTAGCAGTCAGGCAAACGCTTATTTTCCAGATGTTATGAAAGAAAAATCGTTAAAAGAAAGAAAATGAGTTGCCAACTATCATATATAAATATCTTTTTGTTTAACTATACAACGTATTGTTGTAAGTGTGTTTATTATATCATCGTTTCTTTAGTATTAGAACTGTAAATAGCGAGATATTTCTGATAATTATTGAAATATTAGTGTATAGTCTTAATTTCTGATCGAAACGATAGGTATGTATAATTTGATTTTTATTTATCATATAGAACATAAATCAATCTTGGTGATCTTCTTCATTACTCTTGACTGTTTCTACTGTAATAACTTTAGAAAGAGACTGAGGCTATTAAAAGTAGAAAATTCTCAGAGTGACCTCAGGACAAAACAAGTAGCACATATTATTAACTATACATACATGTAAGTTTCATCGATATAAAAGTTTTATATCATATACTTCTTTTTTATACAAAAACAAGAAAAACATTTTTGTTTTTAGTTTTGAGACAAATGTGCAATACAGTACTACGAATGAAGAAATTCATTCACTTGATATATCTTCCATTAGAATTATGTGTTTTTCTTGTTAGTGTGGCTTACAAACATGCATAAAAAGTTCAGAAAATTTGGGCTATTAGATATTTTTTCTCGAGTTATAATGGTATTACTGCTTTTCAGCATGATATTGTTAGAAAACTAAAATGAAAGGCTTTCGAGTGAAAGTTTCCACATAATATATTTGACAATCTTCATTATATTCTGAAAGTGTTAACTTAAATTAATGAAGTTTTTAAAAAGAGATGAGTCCTTTGTAAAATGAACTAGTCTCTGTGCTTTTATGATAAAGTGGTAGTTTTCGTAAATGCATTGTTTCTAAATACAAGTATTTATTTGAGCTGAAACTTCTAGGATATCGTAAGACCATAAGTTGTATTAGCATGAAAATTTCCAGGCAGACATTCGATATTGGGATTTTTTCTCAAAGCATACGACATGATCAGCTGAAAACTCAGTAAAACGACTATAACTGGTAGAAGGATCAAATGAAACGAATCTGTTTACGGTTTTTTACCTGTAGGATGAGTCCTATATGTGAGCAAAATATGGGGATTTCATAGTCTCGCCAATAACACTTTCACCAACTGCACATTCATCAATGGCGAAAGTACTATAGACTTTTACCAATTGACAAAAGTCCACAGAATGTACTGGCGAAAATACAGTGAACATTCGCCAATCGACCAAAGTCCTCATTGTTATTGGCGAATGTACACTGTATTTTCATCAGCTGCTGGAAAGTTGACTAAAGTTCTATTATTTCTTCTTTAAGAATACTGACAAAGATTCTATGGTAAGATTCAGGATGAGCTAATACATCTTCTTGCTTTCTTTTGTGACAGTCAATAAAGATTTTTTCGAATGTATGAGGGAATTTTACTGATGATAGTTATGCGGATTTTTGCTAGTTGGCGAGAGTCCATGAAGGCACTGTAGAAAAGACAGGCCATTCGCCGGTTGGCGTGATTCGAGTATTCATTTAGTGGCAGTGTAATTTATTTCAAAAACAAGAGATAGATAGGTTTATTAATGAAAGCAAGGGTGTGATTGTGGGTGACGATGTGGCCGTGAGATGATAATGAGGATACGTAATGAATTAAACAGTCACATTCACGCCTTTAAGATGTTAAGCAATTCTCATTATACATGCATCAAATCCAAACCGTTTGGAAGTAATAGTTTGGGTTTGGGTGTGGGTAAGTGAAGATGTATAAGGGTGTTGGTGCGGAGTGTGAGTGATGCTTCTCTGTTCAATCTTATCCGCCGTCTTCCATCCACATCCGCACTCTAGCTGGACAAGAACCAAACCCAAATTATTTTGGTTCTTGTGAGTTTCAATATTGAGTTTAGGCGTGGGTTTGAATATGATTCATATATCAAAAATTCCGATGCCTAAGCCAGAACAGTATCTAAACCCAAGCTGCTTGGGTTTGGTGCATGTCTAGTTATCATCTTATCAATGATCACTTATCTAAGGCTAATTGATCTCAAATGTAAATTATATAAAAAAATGAAACAGATTAATAACTAATTGAATCGAGCGTTATGAAGTGAATATTTACATTATCATTTTTAGAAAAGCATAAACTAGTTATTGGATTAGAGATAAGTACTCTGGGTTCTCTTTAATCAAGATGGCATTGTGTTTACAAATACGTGCAAAAGTTCAAGGGTAAAATAAGCGTGACTAAATAAAAATGTATTTTCATTTTTTCAAATAATAGTGTCTCGAAAGATCTTCTTTACATATGCGCTGCTTTATTGGTTTTAATTGGTTTAGTAATTGGTTGTGTTTTGATACTCAGACTAATAATTCTGAGTCAACAATCTAAACTTGCCGGTACTGTAATTGTCGAAATAGTCAATTCTATTTTCTAAATCCGTTCTGATTTATCAATTAAGTTCAAACAACAAACAGTGGATTATCATCGACTATATCGACTACATCGGCTCAAACAGGTATGATGGAGAATCTTATTCTTTGACTAAGTTTTATTACCAATAAGTTGTTTTCTGAACCAGAGATGAGTGCAGAGCATCGGATTTTGATCCTTCGCAAAGCACGTACCCAGAGATGGGCAACTTCAACTCCGGAGTTGACATCGTAGACAACGGAGTTGGAGTTGGAGTGGAGTTGGAGTTGCTTACCCCCGGAGTTGCCCATCTCTGTACGTACCATAGAGTGCTTCAACCCTGTCGTGCTGATCGTATTGATATTTTTTAAAATAATTCCTATTCCTGCCTCAGCGTGTTCATTCCTCATCTCTCTATTACTCGCATGTATACAAACTTTCTGTACAATTCCATCCGTTTTATGATTTTCTTGATGGACACGGTCTCGTGCTCGTAATCCCAATTAAGTTTCTGTTCATCATATAATCACTTAAGTGTTAAGTTGCTTTTACGTTACCCAGGGAATATTTGAAGAATAACACTTATGAGTTCAGATCTATTAACTAACAGCACAATTTTGTATTGGCAAATCTTCGTTATTGTTTCCTCTAGGAAAAGCAGCGGAGACATCAGTTTTGAAGACTAATAATGTTCCCTAAAGTCTTGAAAAGACTGATGGAGTGCTTCAAGTTCTCGGAAGCTATTTGGTCTCATAAAGTTCCTGGAGTCTTGTGAAACATCTTGAAGGTCTTAAAGAGATTTTCAAGCAAAGGTGTTCGACAAATCAAAAATTGTGAATACACTGATACTGGTTTATCCCCTATTAGTCTCGAAAACGTCTCATACTTTTCCAAGTTTCGGAAGCCTTTAAGCTTCTAACCCGATATCTACTCTGTATGACTAAAAACTACGTCTAACCCCTTGTATCTATCATTGTCTCTTAAGCTTATATCAAACCTATTATTTTTATCCTCAACATATTAAATCTATATCTGACCCCAGGTACTATATTATTGTTCTGAACGTTTTAAATCTATATGCAATTCCTTGTTTTTAGTGTTAGCTAGGTAGGTCTTCATTTGGTCCTTTATTCTATTGTGAAATCGTATTTTATTCAAAGATCTTATATATATATATATATATATATGTATATATTTAATCAATTAATTCTACATTTAATCATAGTTTTTATCGAATATATTTGAAGGAAAATCGTACTCAAGAATGTAAAAGTATGTCAGGACTATTATAAAAGTGTGAACGACTGAAGGTCTCGAAAATATATTAAATCGAAATCTCAACTATAGATAGGTACATGAGTTGTAGTAACTGTATCAACAGTTTTATCACACTCAAGCATGGTATACCAAATTTATTTCGCCAAAAAGTATTTGATTTTGCTTAAGATACTTTTCTACAGTATTTTCAAGATTTTTTAAAATTGTAAGAACTCTCGAGGTTATCAAATGTAGACTTGGGAAACCGATTTATGTTCCTTACTATACTTTATAAAATTGAAAAAAGTTTGAAGCCCTTGGGTTTTCCAAAAGAAACTAACGGTTCTGGAACAACTGATTGAATTCTCGGTAGTAAGAGAAAAATATTCTAGAATAACTTAAGCACATGCACCCCCTACTCTAAAAAGTCAGTTTGAGGTGTGGGTTGTGCATGCTCTCTTCATTCACACGCAAACACACCCATACCTTCTTGAAAGTCCGGAGAATCTAGAAGCTTCAGCAGCACCTATTACCGAGAGAAAGAATATAGTCAATCAACATGTTGATACAAAGAAAAATTTTCAATATCATTTAGTTGCAGAATAGATGTATTAGGAGAGTGTTTTTATTATATTTGTCATCGCAAATACATGCCATTCTTTCGAACGAAATACAGAATTTTAGTGTAACATCCGTTCTAAGTTGTTTATGAACAGTTTAAACAAAGTTTGGGAGCATATATGTTGTGGCTGAACAGATAGTACTGCGTGCGATACCAGAGTTATGGTGTGCTACTTCTTTCAGTACTATCAGCTAGTATGTGAGACACAGGTTGTCTCTCGTACATTCTATACGTGTGTTCAAAAACGAAGATGTTTTAATTCTACTGTAACCTAGCTAAAAACTCAAAGTTCTACATCTATAAATGGTGCTTTTTATCAAACTTAGTTTTTTTACTTGGATAGTTGTTGATCTTATGCATCACATGTATTAACATATATCATATTTGCTAAGAAAATAAAAACATATGTGAAAAAAGGAAAAATCAACTGAAAAAAACACAATAGACATTACTATACTATATCTAAGAACGACTTCCACCCAGTTGCTAACATCACATATCTAACTGGTCTATAAGTGTTGGATAATAAAATAGTTGTTGTTTTTCTGTCTTTTTATAGTATGTACCCTCTCTTCTCAATCAACTTGGTCACAAACTGGTACTACTATATTTGGCAAAACAGGCATATCTGCCTCTAGCCTTTCACTTCTTTCTCAACCAGTTGGAATGTATTATGACCAACCTAATAATCGATTAATCGTTGCCGATCAAGGAAATTATCGTATTCTGCAATTTTCTCTCAATAATACACCTTCAGTTGCAACGGTAGTCGCTGGAAATAATGGCCAGGGTTGCAACATGAATCAGTTTAGTGCTCCCTATGGAGTAGGTGTTGATAGCACTGGTCAATTATATGTAGCAGATCACGGTTGCAATCAGGTAGTTAGATTTCCATCAAATTCAAATTCAACGACATCTGGAACACTTCTCAGTTCAGTAGCTTACACGGCACTACTATCCATAAATCCATTGACTAATGATATCTATGTAGCTAGTTCTTATGAAAGTGCGGTATACAAGTTTGTTGGAGGTAGTGAATCTCCGGTGTATGCAGCAGGTATATAATGTTCTTTCAAAGAGATCTTTGGCTTAATATTGGTTTTAATTTCATATATAGGTGCCCCTGCTGATAGAAATGCTGTTAATCAGCTGGCAGACCCAAATGGTGTTTACTATGATTATTTATATACAAATGCTTTGTACGTTACCGATAATTATAATAATTGCGTAAAGAAATTCCAACCAGATTCAATGAATGCAAATCTTATAACAGTTGTTGCTGGATGTAATGGAGCTGGAAGTGGAGCGAATCAGCTGAATAATCCTAGAACTGTACTGGTAGATAGTAGTGGGACTCTCTATATCGCTGATGGAAGTAAGAGCAATTTTGAGAAAAGATAATATAGTATAGATTAAATAATCTCATTTTATTTTTCTTCATATCCAGGTAACAATCGTATTCAACGTTGGCTGCAAAATGCGACTAGTGGTACTACAATCATTGGTGGTACGTTAGGAACAGCATCAAATCAACTCAATTTCCCTGAAACAATCCTCTTTGATAAATATAATAACTTATTGGTTTCTGACAGTCATAATAACCGAATACAACTCTTTCATCTAACAAAATGCTAGTATAGAAGAACTTACTACTGATTATTATTGTTAAAAGTAAAACTTTAAAAAAATCCGGGTAATGTACTGACTTTTTTGATTTTGAATGTATTGTGTGAGACAATCAGAAAGTGGACTAATTTAGTATTTGATGAAAAGACAGATTTGCTATCAGTTTTATCTTAATAATGTATTTTTACTCTTCTATTACAGCCTTTAATTCATTTTCTCACTATGTACATATAATATCGTATTTTTTTGGTATGATGAAAAAGACAGAAAGGGAATACATCGATTACTTATGACTTTTTAATTTCGATATTTTTTCTTTCTGCCTTTTTTAGTCATTCTCTTTCGTATATAATATCTTATCTGATATATCGTTGTCTTTTTTTTTGTGTTTGTTTTCTCATATTATATCTTGCATATATATAATCGTATATAAACACTTGTTTCTCTTTTATTGTATTTCGTTGGGCTTGATGTTACTGTGATTGTATATGTATACTTATATATTTAAAATAAAGATAAAACGGGTTACACAAGAAATCCTCTAATAATTGACGATGAGTGCAACCAATAGAATTAAAACAATATGAACTATGCAATTATGACATTTGTCTAGAGAAATATACATGAATTTAACATGCGCATTCTCTGTTAGAAAACGCAATTTTTTGAAGACAAATTCAAATTGAATCTTTACATAGAAAAATGCGTCGAAGCTTCCTCTCTACAAGTATATATTGCATTTCACAAAATAACAAGATTTTCATCGAGTTACCGATAAAAACTTCGATCTTACCAGCTTGAGGGTGTGAGTGTGAGTGAGTAAAGAATAGACACCCACGCCTTCAAGATAGGAGTACACTTATATATTACAGTATATTATTTGTTATTTCCCTTACAATGATCTTCGGCTTATATCGAATTAGAAAGGCATACTATATGAAAAGTTTTGCTTTTTTTTCTTTGTATCTCATACTTATCATTTCATCTTTTCTCTTTTAACTTCTTTGTTATTCTCAAAACCATATAATATAACTATACATTTCAATTCTATAAGTAGTGTACCCTAATCACTTTTTATTGTAATTTCAACAGATTGTTCCATTTATTCTTCAATAATAAAAAACAAGGCCATTATTTTTCAAAATAATCGCTTTAGTTTTCAATTAATGGCATATATAAATCCGTTATTATTAAACTCGAACTTTTCTATGAATGAAATTAATCATCGTAATGAAATTGCATATGGTTATTATTCAAAAAATGGGTCGCGTCCACTTTGCCGACAGACTGTTTTGCCGATAACTTGTTTGGCTACCATACTTTGTATGTGGGTGTGGGGTGATGGGTGAACGTGAAGGAGGGGTGAGTATGGGTGTGGGGAGAGGGTGTGGGTGTGGGGGGAGAGCGTGAGTGACGGTGTGTGAGTGTGGGGCGAGAGCGTGAGTGAGGGTGTGTGAGTGTGGGTGTAGGGCAGAAGGTAAAGCGGGTGTGACGGAATGGTGTGTGAGTATGCGTGTGAGCAAGTGGATGAGTGCGAGTATGGTTGCGGGTTCGGGTGTTCTCAGCTTAGCGACGCCTACGCATTGAACCAAACCCAAAAAATTATGGTAGCCAAACAAGTCGTCCGCAAAAGAGCCTGTCGGCAAAGTGAGGTGTCGGCAAAGTGGGTGTCGGCAAAGTGTACGGGATCCCAAAAAATGATATCGGACAGTTAAAAGCTTCTCACTAATGGGAAATTTGACCACCTTCTAATGAAATCAATAAAAATTCTGTTAGTGAACATATCGAAATATCTCCATCTATTACATCTAAACTTGAGGATAGGCGTGGGTGTAGGTATGGGTGTGGATCTAGATGAGTGTGGTTGTAGGTAGATGTGTTTTTTTTT